AACGTGATAGCCCAATATTGATTACAGTGCATTGGGCATTGGACACCGAGTTTGGGAGGTTAAGTCAGTAGTTATAAAGCTCGAAGTTAAACTAAGAATACAGGGAAACTATGAAATATTACCAAGTTGGAACTTAATATTTCGGCCTAACAACCAAAATTATTGAATAGGAGAAACAAAAAATACAACACGATGGCTTATATGAAACAAATCTCTCGTATGACAACAAAATCTCTTTTGGCAGCCTTTCAACTGAATGATTCTTTTGATTGAATTGTCTGACCAGTCAGAAAAATGAAGAAAATGTTGACAAAAAATGCAGTCCTTCCAGATTATATCATATTATCTTATTATTCAACCAATCATTTGACTGTTTAATTAATTGTGTCTTGTACAATGAACACTTTCGACAAAAACATTTATCTCTCTGATCATGAGATTGTTTATTTAATGGGTGTAATGCATCTTCTTCTAGCCCTATGAATTCAGACGTGTGATGGGAACCTGGTAGGGAGATCTTAGTTGGAGATATAAAGACATTCCTGTGTTGTATTGTATTGTATTTTCTACCTTGATTCACGCTCTCTAGTCTCCTCATCAGGCAAATGTATGTTTATCGTCACGTTTCGATTATCGCTATACCTGTCTTCATAATTTAACCAGAGAAATAAATTTTGAACAGTAGTTTCAGTTGGTTATTGTAACGAGATATCGCGTTGACGTTCCTTTGAATCGGACCAAGAAAAAAATTGTTTAGAAGCCCCATGCAATTCTAACAATCAGTAAAATTCTGTCACTCTCCTATCGAGTCCTAACCCCGGAGGTTAGTGCTGAGATGAGAGGGAGGTCGGATGGTCGAAAGGACTTTGCATATGTAGGTTTTACTATATCAAGAATGCACAGCTACGTAGTGAGTCAGGAGACAACAGGTTTGTATACAGATCATGATGGTCAAGTTGTGTCGTTCATCAGTGCTTTGCCGTTAACTGCTACCTAATCTCATCACTCTTTGGTGCACATGTGGTCCGTCCGGAACACGGTAAACGTACACATTATTACTGTCACAAAATAAGACCATAGTGGTAACAACAAAACAGATCGTGGGGGACATGTTTTTTGGGTGAGTTCCTTCTTAAGCCAATACAATCACATTTACGTAATAAAATAGCTGAAGGGTGTTATTTTGGAGTCAAACATTCGAGGTCAACTAATTATAGTAAGGGAGTGGGGTAGGTACATGATTGCCTGCTGTTCTCTCGTTCAGGTACGAACGGGTTACGTAAATGTGATAAATGTGATTGGTTTGGTTTGAGAAGGAACTAGCCGATCTACGATCTGTGTTCTCATTATTACTAGCCAGATGCAGGTACTACTTAGGCCGGTACCCAGGTGCATTGATGATAATCGTTACTGAGGCACATGTCTAATAAATATTTTGGGTATGCTTGGCATCCAACAATTTTCGCGAACATATATTAAGTGCATGCGTGGTTGTTCTCTGCATATCTGTAAAGTTATCGTAATAACTACTTTTACCATTCCCTTCAATTATGAACCTAGAATCGTTTGTAGTTGAGTAATAATAAAAAGCATTAAGTATTCAGCATAAGCCCTGGCGACGAATTACCCATATTTATATCAATTCTCGAAATAGTCCCACAGAGCACATTTCAAACAAAACAACAGAGATTCGTATTCATGCCAATAAATCTCAATATATAAATACAACTATTTGGGAATAAACGCGTCTTGGGGAAATAAAATCACAGATTACTAGAGACGATTTAATCATGAGACCGAAAATCGGGTTCGCCACGATCGCCTATCTGTTTGTCCATCCATCTGGTCATCGAGATTATTCGTGATACGGTGTGTGGGGGTAACCCAGGAAGCTTTAATGCTTGCACAAATTGTTTTTGGGGCACACAACGGGGAGTTGTGCAGATGAATGCCCATCGCTTCTACTGTAGTTAGCATCTGACAGCGAACCTGCCTTGATAATCACCCACAAACTTTATACAAGAGGTGGAAATCCCCGGACACGTCCACAGTGTGATTTGTTTCAGCCAGTTGTGAAACTACTGCATTGGTGAGTGACTTAATCGTTCCGGGGTTCAGTCATGCAGGATAGTGTTCATGAATCCGTGCAGACGATCGTCTGACCGTGCAGCCCATGTACGTTGTTCTACAGGCACAAAAAATGAGCGTACACAGAATGAGACCTCAGAGTCCTTCAGTCGCAAACACACAATTGGACGTGAACAACACACGAAGATTGGATGCATAGAAAGTCTTATCGATTGCATCGGATAATCTTTGTATGATCTCAACTGATGTGCCCACTTTGAACCGCGAAGAAACTTAAACTCGGTGTTTTGTAAAGAGTTTTCCGTGCACTGAATCATCTTGTTAACTAAACGCTCCAGGTATCCGTTACGTGCCAAGATCGATCATATACTAAGGAGCTCTTCCTCTAGCGTGTCCTCACTGCAGATCTTTCTAGCCCTGTCCACTAGGCAACGAATCAGGTTCCTTTTTACCCTAAGTGGCACAAAGCTTCAGAAACGGGGGTCTTTCCTGGTTGCCTTTTTATGCACCGAACGCTGCACCGAACCATCTGATCGACGAGTGATCCAGATATCTAGAAACCTCAGTTTGTTGTTACACTCCATTTCTAAAGTAAATGTGATGTTGGGATGCGCATTGTTGAACCTGCTTATTAGTTCCGTTGTGTTCGGTGTTGTCACACAATAAATGTAATCTACGTACGGCGTGTATAGTATACAGTCTTCGATGGATGACTGTAATTGAGTGTTTTCAAGTTTCGTCATGAATAAGTCCGCGAAACGCGATCCCAACGGAGACTCCAAGGCCACGTCATCCTTTATCGAATCATATAACATTCATACTATTAGCTATAACATGCGCTGAAAAAAACTGGGTGGGCCGATGTTGAACCTAGAATTGGGAATACACTGCAACTTACTGCCTCTATTTAGGCAAACATCACATGCACATGTATTTTCTAGGTAACAAATGCACATGTTTTGTTCAAGAGTGATTGCCGAAGGGCCCGATATATGGTCTGCTACATCCGTAATACGCTTTCAATTTGGGGAGAACATGAAGTACATTAATTATCTTCGTAACTGAATGAAGAGCAGATAGGAAAAATACTGAATAATTGGAAGAAACTGATGTAGTCCTTAGTTACTGCGGTTAATATCAAATGAACTAAACACATAAGAGAGGAAAATACTCACTGTGAGCGCCGATTTATGGACTTCCGACTGCATAGGTCGCGGGCAGGATTCTTGCTTCGTGTACCAAACGGAACAACGCATAATGATGGTTTATTCGGACAATTCTAACTGAAAAACACAATTATCCAGTGCTTTTTGTCGATCAGCACATTAATTCTTCCTAAAATACAATTATCCGTCGCTAAAACACCGAATTTATCTGCTATTGTGAACGAATAATTAGTTTCAATTGTTTTTCTGTTGTGGGACAAAATTGTGTAAATGTGCTATGTTGCTGGATGATAACGCCTGAAATTGATGGCTAATTTCAACTCTATCAATATATTCCCACTTAACCAAAACATGTGTCAAAGTGGCGTAATACGATGACAAATAATTTACAGCATTTATTAAATTGATCCGCTTAAAATATAGCAGGTCCTGAAATAACCGCTGAAAACCAAAGTTTATATATATATATTCTCAGCTAAGTAATGAGTAAGGGTTTAAAACTGAAAGCATTTTTATATAAATTATACGCACAGAAGATTTTCATACAGCCAATCCATTTACCGTGTAGTTGACCTTCTACTTCTATGTTTAATCCTTGTCCACTTTCATTCACCATTACTGAATAACCCTATGTGTAATATATATGCTTGTTTTTTTAAAGTAAGCGATTGAGAAGATTAAAAGAAATGTTAACATCTCTGGTCACATTTATCTTCTTTCTATATTGGTAAAATATATAAATGCCTTCCTTGAGGGATTTATCAATTTTTATTCGTATTTAAATATCGGTAATCTTCAACGATTCGAACCAGGATCTAAAGCAGACAAAAGTTTTCCGAACATTCCATGAAACTGAGATTTACCTGTATAATAATTCGTCGGATTATCGCGAAAGAAGTTCTGTCTTATGAGTTGGTATTGCAAAAAATAATCTCCAATTGTTTTCACAGTACGCAGAATGTACAGTTCAGTCACAAACAAGAACGAATATGAACAGAGCCAATCAATTCAGAAACCTCGTGTGACGACTAATTACGACCTGTTATTGCTCCTGCCCGAACCCCTCCATACCTCTGTCGGGTATCTTTACGGATGGAATTTAAATCCTATATACTAGAATAATGGTGCCACACGATACTTTCATTTTAACCTGTACGCGTTTTTTGCTACACACTGTGTGTACGATAGAGGGTTTTCGTTTCTCAACTAATAAAATCAATTGTACCATTGAAGCGTTAAATCTATAGATATCGAGGTGGAATCGATGCCAGTCTGGTTAGCATCCAAAACGTGAATAATGTTAAGGGTCAGTGAGATGAATCGATCAAAGCTGATGATCGTTTACAGTCTGAATGAAAAATATTTTTTTGCTTTTAAAAAGGAATAGATGGGAGATTTTTCCGTTTCTCTTACTTGACCTTGTTAACAATTGATTTAAGTTTAATAGCTGCTGNGCACGTGCATGGTTCACACGTTTTAAATATAAAAGATAAGTTAAATCATATCTGTCGTTATGTAATCTATTCTAAGAAATCACAACGGACGTATTATCACACCGCAGTGCACGGATAAAACTGATGACATTAAATACTCTGAAGTGGTTAAAGTGTGTGTGCAGTATGAAGTTTTAGTCAAATCTTTGAAATATTGGTGCATGGATTTATATTCACACATCGATTTTCATTGGAGTACAAAAACTGACAAAGAAAGGTGATCTCCTAATGTGATTTACAATTTCCATTCCAGTTTGAAGGTCAGCCAAATGCGTATGCAGATGCCCTGGACTATTTGAACATGATCTTCACCGGTGTTTTCACAGTTGAATTTGTTCTCAAATTGACCGCTTTTGGATTCAAGGTAAGTTTGCGCATTCCTAAGGGCCGTTCTCTCTACGTATTGCTGTGCAATTATGATCATTGGAGTGCATGGGGAATCGTAAGCAACAGTTGAAATTCGCACCAAATCCAATTTGAACAGAATCTACCTCTAAAACTTCCAATGTTAGTATAAAACCAATAATTGTGGAGCAAACTTCTGCCTAACAAGCCATTCCCCGTAACTGGTATAAAAATATATGTATGAAAACATTTTATAAAACTGTGATGCTACTTTTGTGTACAAATCAAACGTGGGGTAAATTCGCTTTTCCATGTTTTAGTCCACAAGACATCTTGTTTGTAGCTTTTATGTTGCTACATTCAGTTGGTTTTGCCCAATCTGTGTCCAAAACTATTTGTTGTCAGTCAGAAAACACAAACAACATATCATTTTCTAGTGTTGTTTTACCCAATAACACCTTGGGGGTTATTAGACTTTATTCTGCCGCTGAATTTTGGTTCATAAATATGCTTTTTTGTCCAGTAAAGTTTGACTGCAAATTCAACTTCTACATTTTCTAATCCACTTTATCAGAACTACTTCAGTGACCCGTGGAACGTGTTTGACTTCATCATCGTCGTAGGCAGCTTTGTAGATATAAATATGTCCCACTTAGCGGTAAGTCGATTTTTTGTCCATTCCGCTGATACTTTTGCATAGTAAATATAATTTTTATACTTTATTCTGCAACAAACATTTGTTTTGTTCCACATACTACTACATATATTATCAAAGGGTTTCGTAGATGATTTCGTAGCGAATAACGGGATGCACAGACTTTATCAGATGTCGATTTTCACGAATGTGTCTTAGTTTATTAATCCATCGACAAACTTACTTTTATTTGGCTGTCACTGGAAAACGAAAGGTTTTCTCGGATTCCCGTTAACCGTATATTGAAGCCTCTTATGTAAATTTATCTATTTGTTTCTGTAATCAAACGAAACTTGTGGTGATATGTAATCTACTAACCATGAGGCTTCACCCACTTTCATCGAACTCAGTTTTTCAAATACCAATTATACCCATGAAGACATCTCTTAAATCTCTACGTAAAATCAAAACCAAACACAGTTTGGAATGCAGCATCCAATATTCTGGAGTGTAGAAATGAAGCAAAGTTCTGTGTCTATTTAAACAATGTGGTGATTTTAATTGGGGTAGACTAAAAATCTCGAGCGTTACCTTTGTGAATAATTTACGCGTTGCTTCTCACAGTCACGTTTTGTGAAAGTGATAATAAATGCAAAACGCTCTACCCGCATGCTTGAATGCGTTGACATGGAATACTTGAATATCGTAACTCATACGTTTTTACGCTTCTGTAGTGTGCTGACCTAGAACCATAATTAATGCGGCAAAGTTATATTTTTCTTACACCGAGTTATCTTCGCTACGTGTTACTGTCCGGTAGAATAAAAACATTCGATACTCTTGACGCATGGTCGTAGTTTGATCGAGCACCATAGGGTCTTTGTTTATATACATCGGAATTTGATTATTTTTCTGAAAATTTGCATTCTGAGTGCTGATGCGAATCAATCATAACCGCACGATAAACTCTCCCGAATTCAATTTCAATTTGACAGGCAAACTCAAAATTTATCAGTATCAACTTCTTCCGGCTGTTTCGCGTAATGAGACTGGCTAAGTTGCTCAACCGTGGAGAAGGAATTCGTACTCTGCTATGGACGTTTATCAAGTCATTTCAGGTGAGGTTTTATCATTCTACTAGAACTCCGAATTTAAAATTCTTTAAGACTTTATGAGCCCGTAAGGTTTTATAATTCAGCAATTCCTGCATAATAATGGTTTCTTTGCTGGAGTTGAATGTATGCACAAGGTTACGTTTGTCCGAAGAACGGAAACCAATCTAAGAACCCGAAGGTCATGGGCTGCTTAATTGTAATCGTATTTTTTATAGCGTATTTATTAATCAAATTAAATCATTTTTTGTGGTGCCAGGTAATTGGAAGAATTCATGAAGCCAGCATGATTGTCGCCTTGAAGTTACTTGGCTTAATCCAGATACGCGTCAAGTCTGGTGATCTGTTTTGTCCTGAAACCTTGCATGTACTAACACGAGTCACCGACAGGCAAGATTAAAGCGGTCGAAAACAGAGCTGTCTCTTCAATCTGGTCAGTTTCATCTGTGATAACCTAATTCCGTGAAGACAGTGACGATTCCGACCGCCTACTGTCTGCTTTCAGGATTCTTTTGTTCCAGTACAAACCTGTCCATTCATAGATCTGAGATAACTTCAAATGCCTGTGAAACAAAGACAGAGAACACAAATGCAAAAACACACGCAGTCATTTTGGTTCCGAATTAAAACAAACAACGTATTTTCAATGCTATCCTTTGTTCGGCTTTGCTCTCCCCAGTCCCTTTCCACACTCGTATCTATCCCATTCTATCTCTCTGTTTCTCTCTCTGTGTCTGCCTAGGCTCTTCCCTATGTGGCACTTCTCATCATTATGCTGTTTTTCATTTACGCTGTGATCGGCATGCAAATGTTTGGGAAAATTGCATTGACCAATGTGGAAAGTTCCATCAACCGAAACAATCACTTCCAGACGTTTCCTCAATCCCTCCTCGTTCTGTTTCGCTCAGCCACTGGCGAGGCTTGGCAAGAAATTATGCTCAGTTGTGTAAACGGTGGGTTATGACGTGTGTTGCTCGCCTAATTGACATCCGATTTCTCGCATTTTTGGGCAGACAAATTGAAATTACATTAACCCGTGTAATTGTTTCCGGAAGTTTCTTCATCAATCTATTCGGGTTTCATGCTGTTTCAGGTAGAACACATATTTAATCGTATGCAAAATGTGTAAATACAATTACTAAACTAACAACGAAAAACGAATTTTTCAGTGAACGGACATTAGTCGCCTTAAATCAGTCACATAATTAGCACAAACAATGCACTGAAAATGAACTGTTTACGATTGGTGTTCACCAATGTTGAACTCCCGAATAAGTTTTCCTGAAACGATAACCGACTAAAGTTGTTCCTTTGAGCTTGCTAATTCGTTGCGCGTATGATAATACTGGAGTTGAATACTCACTTAGGATAGCCTAGTATGATGTTTCATGGTTGCCTGCTCCTGAGTAGATAGCTTCCCAAAAAGAATATTATCATCAGAATTTATCTTGTTTGTTGGGTAGGTTTTCAGGTGTAAAGAAGGATTGAAACCAGAGTAAACCTTTAAATAGTAAAATTTTGATCTAACGAAACTAAAGCTAACCATGCAGCCGTGGTGACCAGTGTGTATCCACTGTGATGTGATAGTCGAACAGGCAACCGCTTATTTAGCTTTTGGTCATTTGACCGTGTAGCGTTTGCAACCTAACCTGGTTAGAGTTTGATATTTATGACCTTTTTGTTATCGACTCAAAACGGTCAACCTTGACAATATTTCCAATCGCCATGTACTTTCTCCGGCCGAGCCATTTGAAGTTGGTAACGGACATGTTTCGTGAACGTAATTTATTCAGAATCTTTGATATTCTTATCGGAATACTACTCTTTTATGTTGTGTTACCGTAAGCGGTGCTAAGTGTAATTACCTGGTACAAATGAAAAATAAGTCATTTATTTATTTCGGCAAAATCATAGTTTATCAGTTTATACTTATCCAACTGGCACTCAGAAGCGTAAATGCTATTGATTTTTTATTCAGCGATGAAACGTTTCATTTTCACACACATTCATTTGGTAACTAGTTTTAGGAGTGAATTATTCGTGGTAAGCCATTGTTGTCTGATGGAGTGTTAGGCCTTTTGACAAATTTAATCGAGACGTCGAAATGATCTGAAAGAAATAAACGGTATGTGAAATGAGGAGCAGAAAACTTGGTGATAAGGGTTTTCGCTTCCCATCATTCCCAGACATTTTATCTAGTCTGATTCAAAAATGCAAAATATGGATTTCGTTTAGACGTTTGAACATTGTCATTCTGCGAATCTAGAGTGTTCCAGATACTTAGAGCACATTCCAGCATTTTCCAGGCAAAAACACTTGCAATGGAAAAGTGCACATAATCATTGTGTTTGGAGCAGTCCCGATCAAGCAGTAGCAGAATATCTACGATTCATTATTGATAAAACAAGCGGAAGGAGCGATTAGTTTGATCGGTTGATCATGGGTAGTGCCGGCATTCATGCGTCATTCCCGTTTCTGCTGATGAATCTTGTTAGTCAGTTTACTTCATCATCCGGAGATCTCAATAAAACCGTTGGCTGAGAAGCACGCACGCGTTTGGTTCGCATCTTCACAATGCCAGACCAGTTGAGTGCAGCTTAGAACAACTTCAGACAAATCACTAATGAGCACAAACACTTGTTTATCGGGTATTTGTTATACGAAAGTGTCAGAACTTCAAACAGAACTCCTAGGAAACAATTTACCACGAGTTGGTTCGTGATCGTGTAAATATTTCGAATTTTATCCAAATGATTACAAAATCCCAACATTCGGTCCCTTTCATCTGTTTTTTTTTCTACCAGAACCC